AGGTATGGAACAAGATCACAGGCGTATGTATCCTTATAATGACAAATTAGCGATATATTTGGAGGAGTCATAGTTAACAAGCAGCAAAATTTATCAATAGAAGATAATCAACCGCGTAAATAAAGCGGTTTAAGTAATTGGCCTGCTATTATGGCAAGAGCAGTAAATAAAATTTTGCAACGAACAGGCAGTGCTTTAATCTTCGTCACTAGCAGTGTACATAAAACGATGTTATGTACCTTGTATTATACGTTATATTTTATGCGATTGTTAAATAATTTAGACATAATATTCGAAAGTTATTACATAGCAGCCTCGTATAGAGATGCTAAGTAAATCATCTATAGTAATAGTAATAGGCAATCTTCAGTAGAAAGTTTTATTACTTGACAAGAATGATAATGGATTGCAGGTGATACTTAAACTAGTGACCACGTAAAGTAACTTGATGTAGAACGATAACATAGATTTCATACTACACAATGTATTATATCTTAAAATCAATTACAATATAACTATATGTAGTTAATCTTTACTGCGCCATATGCATTATTTCATTTATAAAATTTGGAATGGATGATTTTATAAAATATTCTTGCTTCTCCTTTACTACGCTATATAATATGCTTGAAATATGATCTTAAAATTTTTCTTCAAGCATATATTTTTCAATTTGGGTGCAATAACTATCATAGAATTCACGGTTCATTAAAAAAATGGCATACACATCATATAAATCATTAGCAATTTGACGATGACCTCTCATTATAGTTTCTATCAAGCCTTATAACAGTTACAGTAAATCACAAAAAATTCATATTTTTACAGAGTTCAAGGCTTATATATAGCAAAATTAATTGAACATTATGTATAAATAGTACGTATAATGGAATACTTGGACTAAATAACTATTTACATATTAATTTTGAGATCTTAGATACCATATAGGCGATTTAAGATGGTGTTATGATAATAGCTATAAACTTCAAAGCTTACTTACTATTAAAACTACTCTAACCAAAGCTCTATGTAATAGAAGATGATGAAGCTAACACTGTTTTACAACAAATATAAAGAGCAGATAAGAATATCATGGCTGCAATTATTACTGAGACAGACGTTTATTTAATCCAAGGTGAGATGCCTGTCTGTGCTAAAAGAGTATTAATTATACTATAGATTATTCAATTCTGTCAAATCTGAAGTTTTTATTGCAAGTATAATGGATTTGTATCCATATACGTATATCTATGTTTATAAATTTTATGATTATTGTTAATATTGTATCTTAATCGCAAGGACACCAGGTCTCATCAATTAGATTGTTCCACTTGATGAAAATGAAGGACAGTAAGGAAATCTTTCCCACAATGCAAAATATGAATCATTTGACTAATATTGTAGTATAGCTGTAAATAGATCATATTTGGAGTTAGATTGTAAAATTTTTCATTGATTAATCACTACAGAGATGCAGGTAGTCTCTGACAGAAAAATTATTAATGTAATAAAGTAAAAATTTTCAAGGAATCAAAGTCGCACCTTATATTTGACTCTTTATATCATAAATATACTGCAGTGAGAGAGGACAGAAAACAGATCTTTTGCATGAATGATTAAAATATATAATTATGAAATGCTTCACTTACTGCTGTCTACTTTATGAGCACTAACGCATACAAATGAGGGTAGCATAAAATGTATGTAATCATAGCATTCCATGAATACCAACATTTAATGCACTGGCTACGTTCACTTCCCTACATACCAAATATATTTTGTAAACCAAACGTACTAAATAAGAAAGGAGAATAATTTTGTCAGCTTTTTGCATGTAGCAACACTATTGCAATCGCTATCTTGCCATATATACTCCTTAATGTTTGAGTAATGTTAATATCATTTCTAATTTACATGGCCAGATCATTACTGCACAGCTAATATTTCGTAATCAAATCAATGTATTCTATCCAGTTCAACGCAAATGTGCAAACTAAGAATTCGGGCTCCAAATCATACCTACTTACGCGATAGCACATATTAAGGGTATTTAGGAATTTCTACATATTTTTCTGGATCAAGCATAAATAACTATCGATTACACTGTTTCAACGAAATAGTCCAACTGACGGGAAAAATCAGAGCGATTACAAGGTCTTAAAGTCTTACAGGAACTCACTATTGGCGAAGAGATTTCAACATTTCCGCTGCAGTATAGTTGATATCTAATCGAGAACACGTCGCTTTATCAATCTATCAATATAAATTTAAAACAAAAGGAATTACTAACAGTCACCTTGTAACTTTTCAGCTACAATTTTATATTGCTAGAAATTATTATTTACTCTTGAAGTCTGATTCAAAAATTTTCGGGGTAGTTCAGAAATAATTACGATTTTGGAATCGAATATTGCGCAGCATATTATAGTGTCACTACTGCACTTGAAGAAATAGCATAACCTATGTTGTCATTAGATAGCAGGATCATTATATCTCTGGCCGTTAAAATGCTAATCAAGGAACATGAAGATACGATAGTGCAATCGTTTGATAATATGGATTGGAGTGACTGGAATATCTAATCATACTATGCAGCAACTATCGAAATCCATTTATCAAATATCAAGATAAAGCAAGTATATTGTTCCTGTTATTATCCCAGGATTGCTCAAATTGCTACAATAGATTAATATCTTTCATCTTACAGTACAACAGCTATATGATATAAATATAATGAATTTAAAAATAGGGAGCTGGATATATTGCTATGAATTTTAGGGTGGTATATCAGTCTCCAAATATATCAATAAAAGATAGGTTATCATCTCCTCCCTCTATTATTTGTATCAAGAGATTAATCTACTCATAAATTATATTGAATCTTGTTGTAGCTAATCAGAAATCGTTACTAACAATGTAGCAAAAGCAAACGAAAATTTATTTATTATCTGAGAATTGTTTTTATAATACCAATACATTTTTTAATGTCTAATCAAGAGAATATAACATTGGCGAAGATAAAGAACTGTTAAAGTCTAGCATTGTCATATGTAAGAACATTAATTATGATCATAAATGAAGAATATCAGAAAAATTTGAAGATGATGACAAAAATACAGATCAGATCAAATTATGATTACGTCATTCTAGATGATAAAGCTTATTTTATATATCACATAATCACTTTATAAATGGATTAAGTGATACAATAATTGTCTATGTGGATTGTCATCTTCGTAAAATATTATAAGATAACGTCTTTAGCGTAAATTAAATTGAAGATGATCTCTAAGAGGTCTCATAAAATTATATCACAAACTTAATAAGATAAAAAGTTGAGATTGGATTTTACATTAGTCGATATACTTCATCATACAAACACAGAATAAACGATTATTTCGATTTTCTAAAGTTTTATAAATATGTAAGCGTGAGTAGATAGATTTATGCAAGAACTGAATTACGTAGTATTCAGTTAACTTAAATTTTCTGACCTACTCTTAATTTATACGTATTGTACATTGAAAATATAAGCTAGGTGTGATTGCTAATGAAACTAGACCTAGTATTTATCGATTACTTGAATAATGATTAATATACAAATGTATCCTTTCTAGGTTTACTATAATAATTTTACTATTTACTTAACGAAATTATTCATTTTTTCATCCAGCTACTCATGGTTGATAACTTGATGATTTCCACTCTAATTATCATCTTCATTACCAACTATATGGATAACGGATGTAAGTAATACAAGTTAAAATCTCAGATATATTATGTAAGTTGATTTACAGATATTATTTTCGTGGCATAAATATTAAATAGGACAAATTGATAGATTGTTAGATCTTAATTTCTTGTGCTGTAATTATTTAACAATGTTTCGCGTAGCTAACAAGATGCAAATTCAATAAATATTATCCAAAAAAAATTAATTTTGATGCTTTACTTTCCATTTACTCCTTGATCAGCTTCGTTTCCTTTACGAATTTCCATGCAATCTAGTTGAATATTTCGGCTTTACTTGCTACCTAGTGATCTACATAAGATCACTTCAGTGGCGATATCGTATTTCGCTCTAATTTTGCGAATACCAATTACACACAAATATAGATAATTTAATTCCTTTAGATGTATATGTTACGATATACATTATATTAGCCGTTATTTCCATCGTCTATTCATGAAAATAGTCAATCAATTTTAACTTGTTCTGTTTTCTTTCAATATGTGATAAAACATCTCCTTCTCAACCGATTGCATATAAATTAATCATACTAACATTGGCTTGATTTATTTTATTTTGCATAGACGTCACCAGTCTTGAAACACACCATAGTATCTTCAGTCTTAGCTAAGTTTCCAAGCTAGAAGGTTGATGATTTCTGATACGAATCATGCCAAATTATGGAATAATCAACATGAATGCTATTGAAGAGTCATTCTTGTGCATGCTTTCGAGCTTGCTTTAAAAGATTTTAGTTAGTGTCGCGAGTTCCTACCCAAAATAGATCATCCTATTGAAATTCATGGCCAAAATACTTGCATACATAAATATATTGTACATCTAAAATAATAACAATACTCTTTCATAGATCGCCTAACGTTGATCCAAGACGTAGTAAAATTACCATAAAAGCACAAATTTTAAGACTACATTATTATAAGATGGTACAAAGTTTAGAAACCGGTGTTTTCCGATTTTCTTTACTTTGTTGATACGAATTAGGACTAGCACCATTCGTGTTCCTTGATGGTGGCGTCGATAGGCTATTATGCTTAGGAGTATTCCCTTTGGATGGACTCTCCGCTGGACTATCAGTAGTTGCAACTGAGACTTTGTGGCGATTAAAAATAGTACTATTGGGTTTTAATGGATTAAAAAATGATAAACTAACTCTACTGGAAGCACTATTACTTCGTAATGAATGTCCATCACTAGGTTTTAAGAAATTACTATTACCACCGCTACCATTATTTTGATCTGGACTATTGATTCGTCGTTGCATTCCAAATAAAATAATTCGATAAGTTCCGGTTACATTATTGCGATAGTCTTTGTGATCGCCTTTATCATACATTTCTTTAGTAATACCCAATTGCCGTAATTGTTTATTAGCTGTTTCCTCGATTTCTTGCATACTTTCAAAATCTTGATCATCACCGTGATGAAATGTTGGTGTATTCTTACATGGAGGATAAGGCTTTGGAAATTCAATTTGTTCTAAAAATGAACTTTCTATAATTTCACGAATGCTATACCGTTCTCTAGGATTATGCCTTAAAATACTGGTAATCAATATTTTGCAGTCTTGGCTAACAAACGATGGAAAGACATAACGTCCTTCTAAGATACAATCTTTCAATTTATCCACAGTTTCAGCTCGAAATGGCATTGTACCAACCACCATGAAATACAATAATACACCAAGAGCCCAAATATCAACGAGTGGGCCATAATAATAATCATCTTTAAATAATTCTGGTGCAGCATAAGGTGGTGAACCGCAGAAAGTATTTAATTTGGTGGTCGCTTTAGCAAATGTACTAAAACCAAAATCGGCTACTTTCACTTGCTTATTATTAGACGAAAAGAGGATATTTTCAGCTTTAACATCGCGATGGACAATATCATTTTGATGCTAAAAAATAAGAAGATAATTTAGTCATTGGCATCGTTATGGTTCGTTTCTGGTATTCGAACAATAACATTGGTTTCAAAATTTAAATTTCAAAGTATATGCAACTTTCGATCAAAGTATGTCTTACTAATGAAGGTACAATAATCTATTATAATTATTATGGTTATGTAAATCATGTAAATTAATTAACGACAACAATATTGCATTAAAATTAACTGATCAGATCGAGAATATTGTATTGGAGATGAGATACAGTAATAATTTGTTGATCCTGTGTATAGGCAAGCAATTAAATTATTTTTATGCGTAATCCTGAATTTCACTATAATCCAGGAATATAAATGTAAAAAATTTGATATCACTGCTTTGTAATTCAGTTCGTAACATCAGTAATTTTATTTAATTTTTAACCGAATTTGCAAATAATGTACCAATAGAAATAGGCAATCATTCATTTACTAAGTTCTTGGTCGAGAAATTAATACTTTTATCTACTCGTGCAGATAATTCTAAATTACTCTATATTCGAAGAATTAAATATAGTAACTAACAGCTGCCAAGTATAAATCAGTCGAATGCTATATCATTATTTCATTTCAACTTACTCAAACTACTGAAAAATTTGTATTAGAAATGAAATACGCCATTGATGTTTACTCTGTTATCATTGTAATTAACACTATGGATAGAAGATGTTCTCACATTTTAATAATAGTAAAAATAAATAAACGTTAGTAGAGCAACTTGCAGCTGTCAAAACTGTCTATTGACATTCTTGGTATAATTTTATATGAATAATGGTGATAAATAAGTTAGTTGATTCTATTTTTGGACTATCATTGGATTGATTGCTATGACATTAGCACTAATCTAATAGCATGAACTTGCAATTGCTGACCAATGACCATAGTACTCGAAGAATGGAAATTTTTTAATAGAAAATTATAATAAGAGTCTATCATTACAATTAAAAGCCATGTGCATTAGTAACCAACGCAATTCTTTGTAATACTTACAATATGTTCGATAGCTGAAACAATTTGAGCGAATAAAGGCTTCGCTTCTTCTTCCTTCATTCGTCCTCCTTTTGATATATACGTGTATAATTCGCCACCAGATGCATATTCGATAATTAGGTAAAATCGTTCAATTGTTTCTACCACTTCATATAATCGAATAACATTGGGATGATGAAGTCTATCCATAGCATCTACTTCGCACGATAATAATTTGCGTGTTTTGTCATCTAATTTGGTCTTGTCCAGAATCTTAACTGCTGCTCGATCTAGTATAAATAAAATAATTTTACGTATGATTAGCATTACTTGATCAATATTATTATACTCTTTACTAAGGCGAAGTTCGCAGCTAGGTATTACGTAGCAACTTTATTTATTATCGACTAATTTTATTGTAGCCATAATTTTTCATCAAGTTTATGAACCATTCTGAAATTATAATGATCCACAAGTCCCTCATGATTTGTAAGCTATAGTTTTTAGTTGATTAGAAGTAGTTATGACTGTTCAATTCGTATGCGAAAGCAAATTTTAATTTGATTATCAGTATGTATTTGTAATTTGAAAATAACCCTCATGATAAAACCTGTAATGTATATATATCAAAAATTTTTTATAGAAAGCAAACAGTAACAATAATAAATAATTTAATAGCTTTTTCGTACATCAAATATTTAAAACCAATCACAATACGATGAAATTTATAGGCGTTATAGACTATCCCTAAACAATATATACTCTGTGCGCTATTGAATTAAATGAAAAGGCTTGATTTCTAAATATTTTATACCGTAAAAAAGAAATTAAGTAAAGAGTTGATCTGATCGTAGTGACTAGTAAAGACATCAAATGTTTTTTTTAAGATATCAAGATAAGTTTTGTTAAGAAAAGAAATTGATAAATTTAGTAAATTAAATAGTGAGCAGACAATAATAATTATACTGCAGTTATTATTTTAGAACGTACGAATCGTGAGCTTTATCATCAAGCAAATCGAATTTAGGAAGGAATTAGAAATTAATCGTATCGATTAGTATGCTAACAAAAATATGACTGAACTTCCTAGTTATATAAATTGATGTATAGCTCATTTAGAAAAAAAATTCGCAAAGACAATCTCAGTTATTATTATTATTGCTAGGCGACATATAAATAAGGTTAGTCAATGATATAAAACGAGAACAGTTAAATGACTACAAGTAAATATATCAACAATCAGTTCTAAAACATTACCAAGTAGAACATTATAACTGAACTCAGCAAATAGGTTTTTTTATTATAATCAAGCAAAACGAAACTGCTAGCTAGCTAATATCACCATGACCGCATTAATTTGGTATGAGAAAAGAATTTAAAAGAAAGAATGTAATTAACTATTTCTGTAATGTTTGGGAATGTCATTATAGTGATATGTTGGTACATCAAGATCTTACTTAAGAAAAATTAACCTTATTTACAATGCTAACCGATCCTCAAAATTATATAAAAGCTTTTCTTGCTCTATAGTATAGAGATATAAGTAAATTATAACTTCCAATCGTTTTGGTTTATGTACTGTATACAAATAAGCCAGGGATGGAAATAATTCTAATAGTAAAATTGAAACAATAATGATACAATTGATAATCTGAGATAACAGTATACCCGTATAGATAGTTAATATAAAACTAAGCACTTTCATGTCTATAAAATTTAGAAAGATTACAAGATAGTTATACTATCAAAACTAGCCTTAGGCTTGTAAGCCAGATACTTGATGGATATGATATGCGAATAGACAATTCCAGTATTTAAATTGAACTAAATGATTTCATGTACTCCAGTAAGGGTTATAAAGACATTTTAATTATCCCTCATTGATATCTCCAAATGTAAAGATTAAATACGGTATTCAAGTTATTAGCAGCGGTTTTAGATTTCATAGGATTGATATCTGGCGCAATTGTACATTCGGAAAACTTTAGTACTCGAAATGGAAGCAAATGGCCTTATATGATATGATAGAAATACTAAGGAACGATAGTTTTCAATCATTTATATCTTTCAAATGTAGGATGGAGAATATAATGCAATAATGAGATAATTAAGATTAATTTTAGCTTGTACAGTCAATGTATACAGGTAAAAGAAATTTTACCTTTGAAATTTGTTATTGTATCTAAGATTTAGAAGCTCATTACTGTAGCCGAAATTGAAGTAAAGAAGACTTTACATACTAATACGAGAGTGTAAAGGAGTGCCAGGAAATTATAATTTTGCAATTAATTGCAGTATTATTCATTATTCCAATTGTTAAAGTAGAACAAAAAGCGATCAATCGATATAACGTCATCGTTATGCTATCGAAAGTAGTTATAGATTGATAGAAATTGTAGTTCATAAGTATGCTAAGAATATTAGAACTAGTTTTATGCCTAATACGTTATATCTGCGATTACGAGTATTTGAAATTGAAGTAAAATTTATTGAAAAGTATAGGTCATCTGTTCAGCGAAATCAATACATACAGGGGAAAATTATATTCTAAAATAGAAATACTTTTATATTGATATTATACTATCTTTGAGAGGGCTATCCAGATTAAGAAATATCAAAGTAATGTGTGATACCTATTCTCATATATCAATTTTAATGTTGTGTTGCATTGGCGTACTATAACTATATATAAGCGAAATTAGTTTAGTGCAGTAATCTCCATCAAGCTGGAATGACTAGCAGCAAGTTGGCCCGACAGGACAGCAGGAATACCAATGTGAAAGGTTATTGATTTTCTTGTTCTATAATTTTTAATTCTATTGATAGCTCTAAAGCCACTCAGTTAATAAAGTTAAAAGATTTGTTTTCGATTTCACTCAATAGAATCAAGAAATCAATCATGAACGTAAAGATACAATAATAATGTTATATAAATGGATAGCCATCGATAGAAACAATAAGGGAAAAATAAAGAGTTGAGGAATGCTTTGAGTTGTCAATCGAATCTGATCCTTGTATAATATGGGCCGGAAAGTTGTTGACGACTGTTGTAGCAATTTATTTCAATTGCTTAGGGAAATCGACGTCATCATGGAGAGACTTGCTTTGTATTTTCTCTATAAACATATCCTTGTTTTGTCACTCATGACTAACCTACTTTATCAATATGTTGAATGATGGTTATACACGATTTGGCAACTATTGACTAGCTTGCTATGTAAAAATGGCTTGGCAATAAAGGCATCGATTAAAGTTATCATTTTCATCATTTTCCTATCTTAAATTACTCTTTATGGTGTGCAATTGATACTGACATAAGTTATAGTCTTGATAAGTAGTTATAATATGCATTGGCGATGTTACTTCCTCCTTTCGGTAGGGTTATTCGTTTATCCAAAATTTCAATATTGATTACGGGTATAAATTAGTTTTTTCAGTTCTTTTTAGTTTTATCTAATTTCCATCTTACTTCTATAACGATCAATTACTATTATTTCTGTTAGCAGGATAAAGATAATGAATACTAGAAATAGATTGAGTCGAACAGATGCTGCCTAATTTTCTTTCATATCATTCCTATATTGCTCTATTAATCATGATATTTTATTGTTAATCTGGTGATAATAGCATTAGAATTACTGTATACCAAATCAAGTAGACGAATTCAACAGCTTATTCGTCCTTCATTTCTATCCTATTCTTCTAATAGAGCAATAATATTAACTTAATCAAGACGATGTCCAAAATAGACTAAATCACACAGCTATTATCATTGTTGTTTATACTACTACAATACCCATCATAGAAAAGATGAAAGGAAGACCATTTTCGAAATATACTGCGTCTGTCAGACATGTCTAGCTTTGCTGACATAGTCTTACTTGTTATCATTGGTAAAGTAATAGATGAGAATTCCTATTTTGCTATAAAATGTGAGGAAGACAACTTTTAAGTTAAACCCAATGAGATATACAATATTAAGTCGGTCTTGTTGGCTCCAATCTTTATAAATACTACACCAAAGTGAAATTAAACCATAACCCTAAGTCGCTATTATGGTTTATTGCTGTTTTTTTATAAAGATAGAGATGCCAAGCGGTCAAATTAAACGTTAGCTGAATAAGATCGATGAAATCAGTCTTAATTTACTCAATCTCTAAGATGCAATCAAAGCAATATCGAAATGACATAATAAGATAAACGATATCGGTTTTATTTGCTCTAGATCTCCATCATGATGTATCATCACTATTATAATAATAGAGATGTAAGAGAGACTAAATCAGAAATAGGTATTTCCAAATAAGGTAGGCATATCCGTCTTATCAGACCCAGTCTATCCTTAACGATATATTATTGTTGCAGTACTTTTACTAGAATGCTAGCGATCAAACGAAGATTGTATTGTATATAAGTAGTGAGCAAGTCAAGTCAGATCATCATTGGTCTTATTTCTTTCCTTACATTTGAGCTCACATTTCTATGAGTATACGTATGTTAATCATTGTTGTGAAAAGTATTCCAATAAAGACAATATTGGACTGTCGTAAAATTGTATTTACAATCATGTTTTTACTGAGATAAGGATCATGTCTCATTTCAACTTCAATCAAGATGGAACCATTGTCGTCATAATCTTCTAACGAAGATAATATTGGCAAGTTCTTACCCATAATACAATCTTGGCTTTACTATGATACAGATTATGTCTGATTTCAATTTGAGTCACGAAAGATAGAAAGTATTTCTACTTTATTAGTAGGCAAATTTGTACTAATTGCATTTATATTAAATTTTAATTTGTACTACTTTGTAGTAGGCAAATTGAAGAATGTAGTCAAAAATAGGAGAACTGACGTTATTAGGTGTAATTTTGCAACGAAAATGCTTTATCTGTTAAATAAACTTGTGTTGAAGAAATGAAAGTAAACAGAAATATTGCACATTCAATCCAATTGTCTTAGTAAGCTAAATAGAACAGATCTGATTGAATCGAAAAGAATAGGATTAATAGTTATTATCAGGTCAAATGATTGTCCAAAAGGAATAGAAAGGGATTTGGCTATTGCCACAATGATACAGAAGATGGAAGAAAAGATTATCAATGCGGCCAATTATAACAGGATGATTTTTATTCTGTAAGTCGCATAACGTATTGCTTATTCTATGGCAAGCAGGCAGGCATAGAAGGAGATTACAAGTTTTCCTATCATAATAAAACAGTCTACCGTATTATGAGTCGATGTAAAAGTCTTGTACTAGCATATTAGGTTATAGCTGGTCGAAGATTGATTTTCGAGCTGTCTTCAACCCATAATTAGTATACTAATCCTAGACTATCACAACGTTTTAGTGTGATAAAAAGAATTGCTTTGAGTCACAGTTTGATTCTAATCATTCTCATATAATAATCTAGAGCATAGGATCTTCATTAATATTCTGGTACTCTTAGAAGAAAGAAAGAGTTTAGATCAAATTAAAAAAATTTTAATCTACAAAACTATGCTTGGCCACAGGTGAGGCAAAGGTGTGATAAAGTTAGAAACGACTTGCCTGTTTCCATGCTGTATTTATAGCAAGATCATTTTAATTGGCTTTAAAGATAGTAATATTTTTATCACCCTCGAGTTGGTTCTCAAAGAATTAAGGATAGAATCAAGCCATGTTGTACAATAGCTTACCAATTGATACCTCAAAATTGATAGTAACATCATTGCTTGAATCATTTCTAAGATAGAAAGTTGTTCATTTAAAGACTGGCAGCAAAGCAATTGTCGCTCTTCTAAGCATGTCAACGACGGATATCTAGATAAATTGTTATGCCATTTATAGTAGTAGTCAATAGTATCTATCGTACAGAGTCAAGAGAGTAAATATATCCTGCTTAAAGTGTAAGCTCCTATTATTCAGTCCCTTTAAATAAATAGAATTGACCCGAAAGAGTTAGAGAGTCAATTTTTCCGACAGCAAGCGCAATATACTATCGATACGAATCATTGCATAGTAATTTCATTGGGGAAGACAAGGCTCGAGGCATTGGCATTAAGTAATAAAAATAAAATAGGCTATCAACTTATCTAGAGAACAGGGTTGAATTTATTATGGAGGGGGCAATTAGAATGATTTCCTATTCTTACATTAATGAAAAGATAATACTTAACATCTTTTTTTACAGTGGAAGAATTTACCATTTCAGGTTTATGGGTAGAACAAAATCAAATTGATTGTTTTAGATATCATGGACTATCTTACTGAAATGAAAGGAATTAAAAGTAGTTGTTGTGGGATCTCTAAGTAGATACTTAATAGTTAGTCCCTTTCTATATATATTCCGTGTATTAATTTACTCATTTCAATAATAGGTCATGATAAAGAATTTATACTCAATAAAATAATTTAGAACCCATTTAGCTATAACTGCGCATTGGTGTTGATTTAATCGACCATAAGATAGCATAACTACTTATATCATCGACAGGTATAATTTAAAACTATGGTTAAAAAAATAATATAAAATCCTTTGGATATAACCCAATGTGGTGTTGATTTAATTTAGCATAAGATAGCATAACCACTTATATCATCGATGCGTATATTTTGAAATTAAATTCAATAAAGTAATCTAAAATTCATTTCGTTATGACCTAGTATCAATGTTGATTCAATGGAACATAAGACAGTATAACAACTTCTATCACCGATAGGTATAGTTTAAAATGAATCATTGGCAGTATAAATAAAAGTGGATACAAGAACTAATCATGAAAGTTGAATATTTTTTAATATCAGTCTGCATGACTTTACCGTCATTATTTATTCCTTTACTTCTTTATATCAGTCTGGGCTGGTAATTAATAATATATTCTATGCTATTAACCTTGATAAATTATGATATGTAATGCTAGAATCAGAACTTAGGGTTAGATATAAAAATTGAATAGAATAGGAAATTCTTTTTAATATAAAAGTATCTTGATAACCAAGAACGTTCATAGTTGTATTCTACTTGCGAAATAGACCAATTGCAGTTGTATTCTGTTTACGAGTATATCAGAATAGCTGGAAGAAATGGTAGACCCAGACTCTATTTCATTCTGCATTAATATCCATAGCAACTGATACGCTTATATATCATTACGACTACTATGTAAAAGTATAGCCATAGTTTTCAAAATACTAAGAATAAAATAATTTTATACTAGTCTATAACTGCATAGAGAAAGTAAATCCTTCAGTCACGCGACAAACCAATTAATTGGTTTTAGATCAGAACAGCAGCCAACCTTAATTGTCCAATGCTAGTGAGGAAATATCAGAATCTATTATGATTGCATTACCAACAGTAAAATTAAATTAGAGCATTGCTTCGATAAGATGAATTGGCGACTTTGCTTAATATGGACGGAAATCCCTTAATATAAGAAGTCAACTTGGCATCATAGTTTTTTTAATCTAGTCGGTCTAGCTCAATGCTTTAGCTCTTTTTAGCCTATTGATCTTTATGGCTAATAGAAATCAAGTTAATTAATTTTTTCCTCTCAGTAATTTCAGATATTAACATCATCTCATTATTATTCCTTCTCGGGAAATTGTCTACAATCCTTCTATGGCTTCTGTATTATTTATGAACTTATGAAAAACATACAACTCTTGATTTTGCATCATTAAAACCTCGTTCAATTTTAATCAATACTGCCAAGAATTTTTTGTACTAGTGTTAGCTACAATAAAGTCGAACTTCAATTATCAAGAATAATAAGCAGAGGAATAACATTATTGGAAGGCGTATTGGTGGTGTAATAGGACCTTGTAATAGGAACGTGACTACAGAATTATAATAGTTCCATATTTTCATGAAAGTCAACTCTTTATAGAAATGCATTTCGCTTTTTGAAACATCCAAGAATAGAAAGCAAAAGAAGAGATTTTCACACTTTTATGACGTCAAAGTCTACACTTTGCAAAGGCAAATTTTCTTTCATGCCTTGTTATAGACAGAAACAGATGGAATAGAATATCCCTACTTTCTTTTAAAGTTCGCTATGTTTCATCAATCAGTCAAGGTTGATTGCTAAAGTTAGCTTCAAATTATACAAAGAAATTAAACTATCATCTAAGCTACAACATATAATTAATACAAATTGAAGCTGTAGGATCATCAAGCAGAATTGAAAACTTATCGCAATTGCTCTAGCCATTGCTTACAATGTAGATGAATAAAGTAGGCTAGAATTAAATGATTATCAAGTTTAACTCAGGGATATTTCTTTTCTTGTTGTATTCTAAGCTGGATGGTTTAAAGCAGTTTCTTTTGTACACCTGCCTGTCTACGCTTCAACTAGTCAGCGAAAGCCAACTTATTCATTAATTTTATCCTCAACTCTACTACTAAATTACCTAAATGGACTGATTATAGGTAATTAATTATTTATGATCGGCTTCAATTTGAAGAAAATATGGAAATTAAAATATAGGATGATCGACTATTTAAAGAATAATTTGAAGTCCATATATAATTCTACAGTATATGATGATGATGCCCTTTTTATGGGATGAACTAACATGCATTAAAGTTATTTCTCACTAACTTTTATTTATTCCAATAATATACGGATCGAAAGTTAAAATACTATCGCCGACGTCATTTTTATTTTTTAATTCTTTTGGGTGCCCTCCTACCGAAAGGAGCCTCTTTGGATGACCTTTGTGACGAATTGAAATACTGCATATAGAATATACAGCTAGAATAGATATACGTGATAAATGCAAATGAAGTAATATGAAAAGAAAAGCAAACGGATCTGTATTGAAAAATCAGAAAGCTAATCCATCCATTAGTTTAGTTGAGTAACCAGTAGTAAAAAAATGTCAACAGAGAAGAGAAATGATATCGGCTCTTTTTTCAGTTTGATTCTGCCTCAATCTAAACAACTTGCAACGATTGAATTTAAATGCTGTACTTACCATTAGTCAGATCATGGATGCCCAATTTAACTTGAGAGAAATTCCCATTTCCTAATTCACCTCGTAATTTATAATGGCTGATGCGCTTTCCTAGAGTAATCTCTCGATTAATTTTCTCATCTGGTAAGCCTTTACTTACCCTTTCGTATGTAGTTAACTTATGATTTTGACGCTGTGATGATCGGGCAAGAGATGCTCGCTCTAAACTATTTCGAGTAGATTTTGCATGATGAGGAAATTGATGATGATGATGATGATGATGATGATATCGAGAATTGGGCTGATTTTTACTATTTTCTACCATGTTTCGGCCTTGGTCCATATTAATAGCTTAAATATCGTCTGACTCCAAGTCAACCATTTATCGACATGGACCATGTTGCACTTATCTTCTATAATACGATATAAAAATATTGCAGATAAGACCACTGTTGGAGATAGACATTTAAATTGATAATAAGGTTAAGAAATGAACGAAGCAAAATACTATTTCATAAAATATCTATTCTTAGATTACGTTATATAGTGGAGAAGAGTGGAATTAACCTTGCTCTTACATGATATAATCAACGATTCTAATACGTGAGATGAATCAAATACTCTCAGTCGCATTTACTGTTCCATCCAACGCTATGTAATCGTACATCCATTACAGATTGATACAATTTTTATTTCAAGTCTTCATCAGGCTAGTAAATATGTTGAATTATTGTCGACTCCAATGTACTGTACGTATAAAACATATTCATGCTCTTTTTTACATTAACTATCAATATTGGATAAATAACTGTATAATTTGTCTATCATGACTTTATAACCTGTCTAATAGTTGCAAGAAATTTAAAATTGTACGTCATGGTCGACAGTGGAATATTTAATAATGTAGGATGAAAAAATTGGGCGATTGTTATACTCCCATTATTTATACACGATATTATCAGCAGCAGAATTTTCTATTTCTTATTACCTGGAAATAGATATAGCACTTGCTTGCTTACTATTAGTCATAACTACTGTTGAACTCAATTATACTGTCTTCTAGTTAATAAAAATATTATTGCTATTGATAAATTTTAATGTAGTTGATGATGCTAGAATAATAATTTATAAACGTGTTTAGGTGATTAGTTTAAGTTTAACTCTATTCTACTTGGGCAAAACAGTTAAATGGAGATTTTAGTCACTGCTGTCAACTGCCTGGACGTCAAAAGTGCTCGTGTAGAGCTGTGCATACTTGGAGTATAATTACAGAAATAGGTAACTAAACTACCGATTAATTTTCTCAAGAGGATGAAAACTTGATTGTAATGATATTATTTCCATTGACAATCTTTAAATTAAAAGTAGTATAGAATAGTTATTTAACTCATTTACAATTGCCTTGCAACAGAGTTAAGAATTAAGTTTGGTTTTAGTTTTACGGGGATGAAAATCTTTCAACGATTAACGATTACTATACGTCAGATAATGATATTTCTTTGGTAAGAATGACTTTTAATGAATTGATTGCTATTACAAGGATCAAGATAAAAATAGCAAATATTTCAAGTAAAGAATTGAAATGTGAAGATGGATGGACTTTACTGATATGATAAAGTAAAGAAAGGATAAAACGGTGATTAAAGAATTTTAGTATGTTGTCCATGGCGAATGATTAATCTTACCTTATTCCATTAGCTGTCTTTTTCATTGAAGAATAAGATTCAGCGAGAATACGAGTAATATTCCAACCAATTGAATTTTATCGAATGTATTCTAAAGAATTCAAATAAAGATGGATAGAGATTGGTAACACTTTACATTGACATTGCTAGGATACTTTTCTAACCGATGGACAAGAAAGACGAATAATTTTTGTACTGTTGTGACAAGTAAATTAAAAAAAATCGAATCCCCAATATCGAAATTTATAGAAGATTAGCGTTATCCGTTGTCTATCGCCTTCAGCGAAATCAAACCGTAGGATAGAGAAAAGAAAATGATTACCAAATTAGCATAGTGCTTGACATGTTTAGGTTACTATTAAGTCAAGTAATTTTTCAACTATAAGCATCTATGAAAATAAAACGTTTTTACAGGGCTTTATTTAATATAAAATAAAATAAGATGTTGATAAAGACTTGTATAACATTATTAAAACTAATAAATTGATCTGTTATTTTTTTTTATTTTTGGCCCTTTTACATACCCTAATTAAGCAAGGTTATACGATTGAACTAGTACAGTGGGATATTGTAAAGTGATAGTAAATTGTTGATGAAAGATAAAATAATACCTTGGATAGGCTAACTTGAACAGCTTTTAGTAATCTGCTATAATCATTTGGAGTCGGTTACCTTGACTAACTTGCAATCGAATGATGATGTCCAATAAATGGCTAAGGCGTCACCTTGATATCATTGGAGTCAATAGTATGTAGACTGATTAAAAATAAATAAATAATACCTGAAGGTTGTACAGTATGCGCAGTCTAAACTTATAGATACGTGTGTGGATATATTAACCTATAAATCTGTTTTCTATACAACAATATTATACATTTTATTCATATGATTGAATATTTATTTCATCCTTGTTCATGTAGTTAGGACAGTATGTATAATCTTTTATCCTTTTCTACGGCCGTCAGTCAAGGTGTATTGTTGAAGCGATCTAAATATATCCAACGTTCATTTGCATATTTTTTTTGTATTAACCTCCAGCCTCCTAGAAATACCCGTATGCCTGACTTATCCACTTACTCTACCTTTCGTTCATTCAATCTCTTCTGTTTGAATACTAATTAGTATATCATCCCGAGCTTTAGCAACGAATATCGCACGCATCACTATGACCGTAGATATCAACGAAGCACAGTGTACACTGTACAGTACAGTATAAGATGCAGTTACTGTAATATTGAATTTTTTTAATTCGTTGACTAGACTGCAAGAGAGAGCCCTAGCTACAACTGGCATACTACTCAAGTCATTCTACGTTATAGAATAATTTGTATGTCAGAGCAATAGCATCGATAGACCTCTATCGCAAGCAGGAAGAAACTCGCCTAGCAATCAAGATTGCCGATAGACAATCATAATAGAATGAAAACACTGGTTACTGAGGACATGGTTGCTATGGTAATCACCAGCACATCCAGTTGGGCTCTGGCCTCTTGGGTGGTGTCACAACGATCAACGTCAATCGCTTGCAAGACGTCAACACTTTGACGTGCGTCAAAATGCTGTGGAGTCAACGTCGATGAACTTGACTCGCTTTTTGATTGTTGACAGCAATTGTTATAGGCTAGGCTATATAATGTACCATGTGATTCATCGCTGTGGAAGTGTACTGTACCCTCTACAAGTTCAAAGCTCGTCTGTGCTCCTAGACACTATACTGTACTCAAACCAACGAACAGGGACTTCTAGTACTGTATGTATTAGGCTACTCTATGCTCGCTAGGAGCATGCTCATAGCAGTTGTCGTGGCCTAGGCTATACTGTACACTAGAAATCGAGTAGAATGCAGCTTTTAGTATGAGAAATTGCAATCTTCCTCTGAATTTAAGTCGTTTTGGGGTGATTTTACTCCATTTTAATTGGAGAGATTTGAACTCTTTGCCTTTCTAATTCTAAATTGTAGTCTGTTTCATTAGGGTCTCTACCATCTTGAGTTCAAGCTCATAACTTTGGATGCAATGATTATTTGCATAATCTTTACTATCAACAACACTCTACAGTCTACTACATCCATATCTTAGAACGGGAAGCTGCTAAATGATGTCTAGTAGTCCACCTCTCCTAACGAGATCATGTTAATATCAATGCTGGGCATCTCACTATTGACTACCAGCCATGTACCATAAGCAGAATTGCGTCTTTCTTGCATAGCTTTTGTCCTTTTTTATTTGGATAATCAAGTCAATTTAAACTTACCGATAAAATACGTACACTTTTAGGGCATTTCTGACTCCATGGATAGTTGTAGGCTAGATTAGAAGGCCGTACAAGTGGCTAGTTGTAAGGATATAGTACGTACAAATGGCGATGCAGAGAGTCGTTGATGAAACAACGCGTATGAGGAAGAAGGTGTAGTTTAATGCGATGCAGAGGTACTATCAGGATGCTGATGGAGTCTAGGCCCCCAAAATAGATCATGTCGTATGAATAGGTTAGATTGTGAGGCTATACAAGTGCCCCTTGGTAAAGGGTAGATAGAAGTAGAGCATTTCTGACTCCAATGATAGTTGTACTGTACAGCAGGCTAGATTAGAAGGCCGTACAAGTAGCTAGTTGTAGATACAGTAAGTAGAAATGGAGATGCAGAGAATCGTTAATAAAACTACGCGTATAAGGAATAAGGTGTAGTTTAATGTGATGCTGTGGTAATGTCAGGATACTGATGGAGTCTTGGTAAAGAGTAGATATACGTAGGGCATTTCTGACTCCAATGATAGTTGCAGGCTAGATTAGAAGGCCATACAAGTGGCTAGTTGTAGATATAGTACGTAGAAATGAAGATGCAGAGTCGCTGATAAAACAACTCGTATAAGGAATAAGCAATAGTTTAATGTGATGCAGAGGTGCTGTCAGGATGCTGATGCAGTCTTGGTAAAGAGCGGATATACGTAGAGCATTTCTGACTCCAATGATAGTTGTAGGCTAGATTAGAAGGCCGTACAAGTGGCTTGTTGTAAAATACAGTACGTAGAAAATGGAGATGCAGAGAGTCGTTGATGAAACAACGCGTATGAGGAAGAAGGTATAGTTTTATGTGATGCAGAGGTACTGTCAGGATGCTGATGGAGTCTAGGCCCAAGAAATAGATCATGTCGTATGAATAGGTTAGATTATGAGGCTGTACAAGTGCTTCTTGGTAAAGAGTAGGTATACGTAGGGCATTTCTGACTCCAATGATAGTTGTATGCTAGATTAGAAGGCCGTACAAGTGGCTAGTTGTAGATACAGCACGTAGAAATGGAGATACAGAGAGTCGTTAATAAAACAACGCGAATGAGGAATAAGGTGTAGTTTAATGTGATGCAGAGGTTCTGTCAGGATGCTGATGGAATCTAAGCCCCAAAAATAGATTATGTCGTATGAATAGGTTAGATTATGAAGCTGTATATAGAAATTATTGCTATGTGCCTTTGCAATTCTTGCATGGATAACTAGATGCTGGTATAAAGTGCAGTATTTG